GTGCTGCGGGAGTTCCAAAAGTGGCTGGTGCTGGTGGAACGGCAAGTAAAGAAGTCGATGCTGATGCTCCGCTCAGACCGGGGAGGGGAGTTCCTCGGGAAGGAATTCACCGACTTCGTTGACAGCAAGGGCATTGTCCACGACCTGACGTGCCCTTACACTCCGCAGCAGAACGGCATGGCTGAGCGGGAGATGCGCACGGCCGTCGAGCCGGTGAGGATGATGCTGCTACACATGGGCGTGCAGCACCACTGGTGGCACCTTGCTCTACGACAAGCTGTCTGGGTGCGCAACTGCTTGGAGCGGTCGACGACGCCGCCGGGGACGACTCCGTACCAGCTGCTGGCCGGGAAGAAGCCCGACCTCACGCTGGCGCGTGTATGGGGCTGCATGGTGCAGTTCATGGTTCCTGAGCAGTAGCGCGGTGGGAAGCTGGCGCCAAAAGCTTGCTGGGGGCTTCACCTGACCGACAACAAGGTGGTCACGTCGGTCGAGGTGATCTTCTAGGAGACGCTGTCGCTGGAGGTGTGGAAGGTGAAGTTTGGGCCGGCGTCGGGGCGGACGCAGGCACACCCGCCGACGGACACCTCGACGACGACGGTTCCCTTGCTCGCCGAAGTCGATGAGCCTGCTGATGAGGATGTTGTGGAGGTTCTTCCACCTCCCCCTGTTCTTGCTCCTCCCTTCCCCGTAGCAGATCGGCCTCCGTTGACACCTGTGTCGGCCACCGGCGATGAGGGGAGCCTTGAGGCGTCGCCTGTGGCGCCGGCCAGTGGCATCGCCGGCGGTCGACAAGGCGCCAAGCTCGTCGACCAGGATGGGAAGCCGTCGACGACAGGGGAGCAGCAGACAGGGGAGTTGTCGAAGTCAGCAGGAGGTGAGCAGCTGGTCGAAGGTTCGAAGCAGCTGGTCGAGGACTTGGCCGTCAACGAAGAAGGGGAGCTGTCAGCAGGAGAAGAGTCCACCGACAGCGACGTGGTGGAGGTGCCGATCACGAAGCCTGAGCTACGACGCACAAGTCGAGCTCGACGGCCGCCGGAGCGGCTGAGCTTCCACGCCTGCCTACCGCCAGCTGCCTTCACCATTGTGTATGACGAGGTCCACGACAACCTGTTGTACGACGACGCCAAGGAGGATGAAGAACTGCCGCAGCTCGACCCCGACATGCATGCCGACCCCGAACACCGCTGGGACATCGCCATGATGACGGTGAAGGAGGCGATGGCAAGCTGGAAGGGCGAGGCGGTGAAGGCCGCCATGGAAGAAGAGATCCGCAGCCTCATTGGCATGGGCACTTGGGAGCTGGTCGAACGCCCACGTGGGGTGAACATCATGAAGAACCGGTGGGTGCTGACGACCAAGTACCGCATCGACGACACCGTCGAGCGCGAGAAGGCGAGGCTAGTCATGAAGGCCTTCACGCAGGTGTGCGGTGCCGACTACGACGAGACGTACTTGCCGGTGAGCAGCTACGTCACGCTGAGGATCTTCCTCAGCATCGTCGACGTCCTCGACCTCAACCTGATGCAGCTCGACATGAAGAACGCTTTCCTGCAGAGCAAGCTCGACAGGGTGCACTACATGTACCAGCCGGACTACTTCGACGATGGGACCGGCCGGGTGTGTAAGCTGCTGAAGAGCCTCTACGGGCTGAAGCAGACGCCGCTGCTGTGGTATAGGGCACTCAACGGTGTGCTGCTGGGCGCTGGCTGGAAGAAGAGCCAGGTCGACGAGGTGCTCTACTTCAAGGCCGGCGACAACGGAGTGACCTGCTGGGTGCTGGTCTACGTCGACGACCTGCTCGCCGCCAGCAGCAGCCCTGCGATGCTGAAGGAGCTAAAGGAGCTGCTGGAGGCTGCCTTTGAGCTGCGCGAGACTTCGCCAGTCGTCAAGTACCTCGGGCTGGAGATCGTGCGCGACAGGCCAGCAAGGAAGTTGTGGCTTCACCAGTAGGGCTACGCTGACAAGCTGCGCAGGCGCTTCATCGACGAGGAGCAGGGCGGCCGAGTCCCGAAGATGCCGGTCTCAGTCGATGCCTACGCCGAGCTGACATTTGACGACGAGGAGGCGCAGGAGCGCGATGGGGAGGAGTACCGGTGGAAGGTTGGCTCGCTGCAGTTCGCGGCGACGACGACGAGGCCGGACATCGCGTTCGCCTGCAGCAAGCTGGGGAGCGGCCTCACGGTGAGGAGCGACCAGCATTGGCACGAGGTCGACCGCTGCCTCGACTACCTCTTCGACACCCGCGACACCGCTCTGGAGTTTGGCGGTGGACCAGAGTCGCTGGAGCGGATCGACTACGTGGACGCCGACGATGCGAGCGACAAGCAGAACCGGACAAGCACGGGAGGCTACGTGTTTGTCTACGGAGGGGCCGCCGTCTCCTGGTCGAGCTCGCGTATCAAGTGCGCGACATTGTCGTCGACGGAGTCGGAGTACGTGGCGGCCACGGATGCAGGCAAGGAGGGACGCCGACTTCGTTTCCTTCTTGCGGAATTCAAGCTACTCGACGCTGGGAAGCCAACCATCCTCCGCGTCGACAACAAGTTGGCAATCACGGTCGCTGAGGGCTTGGGGCTGACGGGCAATCTCAAGCACATGGAGCGACGCTACGCCTGGCTGCAGCATATGGTGAGACGCGGGAAGTTCGTGCTGAAGTACATTCCGACCACCGAGCAGCTTGCTGATTTTCTGACAAAGGCGCTGCATTTTCCGGCTTTCAACCGGTGCTCTGTCGCCATCAGCCAAGTTCGTCTAGTCGACGTCGGCGACGGCGACGATGATGTGCAGCAGTATGTGTCTTGCCCTTCTGCACGGCTGGTGCGGAGACGGCGTGCTGTGTGTGGGGTGCATGCCGAGGACGATTTTTCTCCGTAGTGTGCTGCCGTATGGGCTGGGGGCCCAAGCGTGAGCGCGGCAGGGGAGTGTTAACGGGAATGGAGTGTTGGCCCCGCCCTTGCTTGGGGAACGCCGACGACTTGGTCGGATGTACGGGAGTAGCAGCCGACCGTTCACAGTGGGAGAGCTGCTCGACAGGCTTCGTCGAGCTGCAGGGGACCGCTGTGGTGTTGCTGTCGACCAAGGAGCTTGACAGCTGCAACTGACTGGTCTGGGCAACGGGTGGGCCGTCGACCAGGAGGGGCAGTTCGACCGGGAGGTCGACGGAGCAGTCCGTCGACCTGCAGTTCGACTGGGAGGTCAACGGAGCAGTCCGTTGACCTGACAAGTGAGCAGCGGTCGACGAGGGGAGCTCGGCGACAACAGCTGACAGTTTTGGTCGACGGAAGGGGTCTATCGACTAGGGGGTAGCTCGACGGGAGCTGTGGTCGACCAGGGGCACCTGGTGGTCGACCAGAGGGACCCGGTGGTCGACCAGAGCACCTGGGGTTGTCCAGGTCGACTGGGTAACCTGCTCGGCGAGTTCTGCTGAGGCACGCGAACGTCGTCGAGGACGCGATGGCGAAGGCGACTTCGGGTTGGTATCCCGAAGTCGATGTGGCTCGTCAGGCGCAGACAACAGCCGACGGATGCACAACAGTGCAAGTCGGGCCAATCGTCTGCGCACACCTGCGAGCGTGCGCACTGCTGTCTTCTACGGGGCAACGCTGGACAGCCGCTCTGCTGCAGCGTTGGCACACCGTCGATCTGCAGTATTGGCAGGTCGCCCTTCTCTAGTTCTTGGCGCGGCTCCTCTACGCAATGCTGGCAAGAGGTCGACCAAGCTGTGCTGGCAGTCGACCAGGCTAGCTGCAGAGTTGCTAGGTGCCTGATGTAGTCATTGTTGTCATTGCTTGTTAAAAAAATCTGTAATTTCGACTTTGCTAGTGGAAACTCTTGCCGATTTCTCCCGTGATTGTGCAAGCACTAGGGAACTAGGCAAAGCTATGATCACTCCTAGTAGTTCGTGCCAACCCCTGTAGTCTAGCTCACTACCGTTGTAGAGTGAATCTCCGCAGGTAGGGCGTGGAAATGAAGGCTAGCGTCAATCCGAAGCGTTTTGCGATGGTGTCGGCGTATTTTGCGGCACTGAGGTAGATTGCGTTCTCTCCGTCTAGAATGTTGAGTCCAAGGTACTGGGTCACGGTAGAGGAAACCGTGAGTGAGAGATCCTGTTGCAGCTCCCCTTCAAACCGGTTGGTGATGCCGTTGGTGGAGCCTATGTAGAGCAGGTCGACTACATACACGATGATCAGAATGTACTCAGCTTCCTTTGTGAGCCTGTACATGCCCTGGTCGTGTGGTAGTTGTTGAAAGCTGATGCGGATTAGTCGGACGTGTAGGTACTGCTGCCACAGCCGCGGAGCTTGCTTGATGCCATACAAGGATCTCACCAGCTGACAGACTTGATTAGGTTCTGTGTCGGATCCGTGTGGTTGCTCGACGAAGATTTCGGCGTCGACGAGAGCGTAGAGAAATGCGTTAGCCACGTCGATTTGGCGAAGCTTCTTCCGCTTCATGGCGGCTATCGCGAGGAGGATTCGCAAAGAGGTATGTCGGCTGACCGGCGCAAAGTTTTCGGTGAAGTCTTGTCGGTGTTCTTGGTCGAAGCCACAAACGACCCATCGTGCCTTGAATTTATCAATTGTTCCGTCGGCTTTCATCTTCACGCGGAAGACCCATTTTCCCATGAGAATGATTTTGTTGCGTGCCAGTCCGATGGGTACTATCTTCCTGATGTTTCTATCTTCCAGCGCCTTTGATTCCCTATCCATGGCTTCACGCCATTTTTCCCTGTGTTCCCCCCCCCATATCCTGCTGAAGCGTAGCAGGCTCTCGCGGCATCGGCGAATTCGTAGTAGACTCCGGCGTTGTGTCATCGCAACCAATCAGGGCCGAGTTAAATATCGATTCTGTCGAGGGTCGTCGCGAACATTTCCTGGGTTTATGTGAAGTTACCCTCGCAACGAATCCGAACTCGGTCCACGCGTTCCCATATCGCCAGTGGCGTGCCGTCGACTAATCGTGCGTCAATCTGAGGTAAGCATTGGTGCAATGTCAGTTTAATTCTTAGTGTAGTGGCAGTATTTTTTCAGCTGTAACAGTCGGTGTGGATTTTTTTGCTAAGCAGTATGGGACTATCTACCGTTGAACCCTCCTTGTTCAGACGAGTGTGGTTGACTGCGTGAATCGGCACAATCACTCAATGAGGGTCGGTTGGGTCGGGCGAGCGGCGTAACATGTCAGTAGAGGGCCCGTCTGCTACTGACTCCCAGTGTTTCGCTGGTGCTTGGTTTGTTTCTGCTGCTCGGCTCCCTCCTTTCCCTTAACATATTCCGGGCATTTGCTCTTACGGTGCCCCGGCTGATTGCACGCGAAGCAGCGCCCTTTGAATAGTGCAGCAGCGGCGTTTACGGCGACGGCGCGTATCGTGGCGTGCTCGTTCGTCCCACGAATCCGGCGTCCCCAGTTGTTGTTGTTGTTGTTGTTGTTGTTGTTATCTTCGTCGTTGTCGTCGTCGTTGTCATCGTCGTCGTCGTCGTCGTCCTCGTCGTCGTCGTCGTCGTCGTCGTCGTCGTCGTTGCCGTCGTCGTTGCCGTCGTCGTTGTTGCGTCGTTGTCGTCGTCGTTGCCGCCGTCGTTGACCTCGTCGTTGTCCTTGTCGTTGTCGTCGTCGTTGTCGTCGTCGTTATCGTTGTCGTCGTCGTCATCGTCGTCGTCGTCATCGTCGTCGTCGTTGTCGTCGTCGTTGTCGTCGTCGTTGTCGTCGTCGTTGTCGTCGTCGTTCTCGTCGTCGTTCTCGTCGTCGTTGTTGTCGTCGTTGTCGTCGTCGTTGTCGTCGTCGTTGTCATGGTCGTTGTCGTCATCGTTGTCGTCCATGTCGTCGTCGTCGTTGTCGTCGTCGTCGTCGTCGTTGTCGTCGTCGTCCTCGTCGTCGTCCTCGTCGTCGTCCTCGTCGTCGTGGTCATCGTCGTGGTCATCGTGGTCGTCGTGGTCGTCGTCGTCGTCGTCGTCGTCGTTGTCGTTGTTGTCGTTGTTGTTGTCGTTGTTGTTGTTGTTGTTGTTGTTGTTGTTGTTGTTGTTGTTGTTGTTGTTGTTGTTGTTGTTGTTGTTGTTGTTGTTGTTGTTGTTGTTGTTGTTGTTGTTGTTGTTGTTGTTGTTGTTGTTGTTGTTGATGATGTTGTTGTTGTTGTTGTTGTTGTTGATGTTGTTGTTGTTGTTGTTGTTGTTGTAGGACCCCGTCCTCGGTCGGTGGAGAAAATCAAGTTTCTCGGCCATCGCCAGAATTTTGTTGGATTCCGTGACGCTGCGGAGCAGGATTTCTTGCGCGATCTCGTTTTTCACGCCGCCCACATAGTGACCGACGCGCTCAGCTTCTTGCATGTAGCCCACCTGCTCACACAACGCCAGGAACCCGCTGGTGTAGTCCTGGACGGAACCGAGCTGGCGCCAAGTGCGAAGCTTCTGAAGCACTGAAATCGACCCCGCGATTGGCTCGAATCTCCCGCGTAGAGCTGCGCACCACACGCCCCACGTGCGATACTGGGCTACCTCCACGAAATACAATGGCGCCCAGGGTCCAGTTGGTCCTTCCCGTGGCGGTAGAGTCCCGTAGTCGCTCTGCTTCGTGACAATAACGCGCCACCAATCCATGGGATTGTGTTGATCGGACGAAGCTCCGTTAGCAGTAACGGGCGAACAATGGTTGGTCTTGTACGCGGTGTTGAATCACGCGGTAAGGAATGTCGAAAAAATCCTTACAATGGTACAAATGTGAGGCTTGGTTTCTAGTGTAGATCTTGAATATTATAATCAAACCTATCATGTAGTTGTAGTAACCGAGCGACTCAATAAGCCTTTACGCAATCCATATCATTGGACAAGTACTGGTATATCACCTTCATATTAACTGTAGTGCCTCTATGTGGATCTCCTTTTTATAGTGAATACAGGAAGACAATACCCTCTTTCCTCTTGAACCACGGTGGGTTTTGTTCTGTCCTCGGATCGTTACGAATTCTATGGGGGGATGGTTTGTTACTGTGTGAGGGTGGTTGTCAGCTGGTGGGGCGGGGGAGCGGATTGTGAAAATGAAGCATGGCATGACGTTTTGATCTTGTGTGTGGTTCAACGATCAATGCAATATCCAACCATTCTGGTCAGAGGGGCAAGGCAACCTGCCAGATGATAGTCGCACTATAATGTGCTGTAATTTTCTTCTGCCATGAAAGCGAGTTTCCCATACGTGGCTCGAAATTTACCCTTCATGTCGATATCAACCAACTGAACACGCCGTCAAGCTTTCATGCATCCCACGACCAATTGCGGGAAGATCGAATATCAAACAGATGCGGCTGGATTGTTGGGTTCAAAGAATGGCGTCACACTTCGTGGCTTGTATCCACCTTTCGGTGAGCACTACTGGCAGTAATGATGGCGTCAAACCATGAAGCCGACTGCTCCACAAAAATGCACTCATAAGGGAGGCTGCCGCAGACTCCCCTTCGTTGGCGAGCACATGTGAAGGAGGAGATCCATTGGTGAAAAGGCTGCTGCCTTCGTGATCGGGAATGTGCAGCTGCAACATTTCAGCTAAGGAGTCCAACCAGTGAACAAGCTCGAGATTTGTCCACAAAGGGGCCAGTCTACAGTTCTCCTGCCCATCGATTCCGTCGGACCTGATCATCGTGACTCGTGAGTCTTCCCCTCATAATAGCCGATCTTTCATCTCAGCCATCCATATTGAGCAATGGTGAGAGATTTACATCCATGCCGTACATTCATTTAGAAAAAGCAGACCGCAAATCCGTGCTGGGGGGGGAGGGGGGGAGGGGGGGGGGGGTGTGCAGGGCGGAACAGAACTACTTGTCAAACAATGCAGCAGCTTTGTCAGCAGATGCTCAGCCAAAAAACGATCGGGCTGCCTTGGATGCCTCCAGTAGAGGCAACTTGAGGAGGCGACGAATTGCCCAACTGTTGGGATTACAGCGAAGGAGACGAGGCTGCTGCGTTGCAGAACGTCGGAATTGTGAAGATCCGTGCTCATCGTGTCAGAATACTGAACGAGAATGAAATGCATTGAGCAGAAAGTAGGTACAACTACAAGCCCTAATTGGGTTGTACCCCACTACAGCCTACAAAATATAAGCATTATAACATTTTGACACACCCCCATAGGCAAAGTGGGGGAGAACAAGTGGTCACAAGACCAGTCAAGAAAAGCAAAGCAAGCTCAGGGTGGATCATGAAGTCACCGCACATTCCGAGCACAAGCAAATGGCCACAAGGCCAGTTCACATGCAGAGTTATATAAAAGAGAACAAACAGTACAGTGATCACACCCTAGAAAGTGTAAGCATGCATGTATATATATAGATCACAGTACAAGCAAAGTCACGCAGTGAGCAAGTGAGGCAAAGTAGGCACAAGGCCTAAAACAGTACAGAAATACTGATAATCACCAGACTGAAGTGCCTTGGTGAATATATCAGCAGTGTTGGCCCGAATGGCCACGTAAGCAAGACAAAGTTGACCACGCTGCTGCAACTCTCGAGCAAGGAAGTAACGCAAAGCGATGTGCTTTGTTCTATGCTCCAGACTGTGCTCCTGACACAAAGCAAACATGGCCTTGTTGTCTACGTATGGGACTGGAGAAGAACGAGGCCGCTCTCCCAAGTCGGTCAGCAGGTAGGTGAGCCAGCATAACTCCTGTGCAGCCATGGCCCCTGCGTAAATCTCAGCCTCATTACTGGAACTGAGAACAGAAGACGAGCCGATAGACCGCCAAGAAACAGAGCCGGAGCTAAGGCTGAAAGTGTAACCCTGTGACGACTGCTGCGTAGCCAAGTCGTCAACCCAAGAAGCATCTGCGTGTCCACTGAGGACAAGTGGGCCCCGTCCTCCAAGCACGAGCCCCATGCCCGATGTACTGCACAAGTAGCGCAACACCCTCTTAGCGGCCTCCCAGTGCTCTGGTCGGTGTCTCCCGGGCGCAACGTAGCATGCCAGGATGCTAAGAGGGTAGGCAAGTTCAGATCGAGTGCAAGTCATCAGGTACATGAGGCAGCCCACAAGCTCTAGATACGGGCCACTCGGCTCTACGGACTCGTCGGAAGGTGGAGCTGAGAGCGAGTGACCGGTAGGCAGAGGAGTGGACTGTGGCGAGGAGTACCGGAAGCCGAAGCGCTGAAGGACCTGGTGCACCATGTGTGATTGAGTCAAGGTAATGGTGCACCGAGCTCTGTCCCGGGTGATCTGCAAGCAAAGATAGCTGCGCAACTCACACAGGTCAGTACAGGTGTGTCTCTTCTGCACCTCTGACTTAACAAGGGCTAGTGCCTCAGTGTCAGCAGTGGCAAAGACCAAGTCATCGATGTACACTGAGATGTAGAACGGCGGCAGCGAAGTGTCGGTGCGCAGAAACAGCGACGGGTCAGCAGTCGAAGGAGCAAACCCAAGAGCCGCAAGTGTCCTCCTCAGTGTGTTGTGCCACTCGCGAGGCACCTGGCAGAGATCGTAGATTGGCCGCCAGAGGCTCCAATGGGTGCCTGTAGGAAACGAACCAGTAAAGCCAGGTGGGCGGCGCAGCCAGATCTCCTCGTGCAGGCTGCCCTGTAAGAAAGCTGTGCTGAAGTCAAGAGAGTGCAGCTCGAAGTCACACTGAGTGGCAACGAGCAGCAGAACCTGAAGAGTGGTCATTTTCGGGGTAGGGGAGAAGGTCTGGAAGAAGTCAACTCCTTGTCACTGACTGAACCCTGGTGCAACGTACCGAGCCATGAAGAGAGGCGGAGAACGCGGCGGCCGCTTCACCCTGAAAATCCGCATGCCATCGACTATGTTCGCCCCAGAAGGGGGAACAGTGTCGACGTAGGTGCCTGTGGACTTCCAAGATTCCATCTCTGCGTCCATGGCTGTCTGCCACTGAGAGGAGTAGGGACCTGTAATCGCCTCTGCGTAAGAGCGCGGGGTCGGGATGTCTGGTGCATCCGGGTCTCCCTCAGGTGCAAGCAGCATGGCCACGAGATGAGGTACAGCAGCTGCAAGACACTCAAAGTCCTCCTGCCTGTCCTCAAGGACGTCCGTGCCAAGAGCACACCCACCCCTAACGGATGAAGGACAGTCAGACTCAGACTCAGCAACAAGACTAGTGGCGTAGTCGAGACGACAGGCGGCAGCATAGTCAACAAGCTCAGCAACTAGGGCAGACGCAACAGTGGACTCAAAAGAAGGGTCGGTGACAAGAGTGGCTACAAGACGAGGGACAGTAGGACTAGCAGAACGAGCTAAGTCAGACTCAGGGTCAGGAACGGCAGGAAGAGAGGACGCAAGAGGAGGCGGCAGGGGAACTCGCAATGGAACAGAGGAAGGAAGAAGTGCCATAATGTGAGTGCCGGGGACAGGAGGAGGACGCAGACGAGTAACACGACGACCAGTGCGAACAGCGCAAACAGGCAAGGCAGGATGAGACTCAAGCTCACGACGCTCTGTAAAAGAGTCTCTCTGCTCAGCGTAAGGAGAAGGAGCAGGCAGTGGGGAGTCTGGCTGTAACTGTGGCTGCGACTGGTGAGGCGGTGGACTCAGTAAGCTAGGAGGAAGGCAAGTAGAAGACGGGAGACTAAGAACCTGGCGAAGGACCGAGTCAGGTGGCGGCAGAGACGACAGTTGCGACGGAACAAAAAACGGGAGCCGCTACACAGTGCCTCCAGCACTAGGACCGCTAGCTCCAACACCCCCAGCGCCAGCACCTCCAGCTCCAGGGTCTCCAACTCCACTGCCTCTAGCTCCAGCGCCTCCAGCGCCAGGGTCTCCAGCTCCAGCTCCTCCAGCTCCAGCGCCACCAGCGCCAGTGCCTCCAGCTCCACGGTCTCCAGCTCCAGCTC